CTATCTTCTCGGGACAGAGTGGCAGGGCGACTGGGAAAGCGTGGCTCAGGGGAGCCGGTGCAATTTAAATCTGGCCAACCTCGCGACGCCAACCCCCATCGCGCGGAGAATGGGACAACGGGACGCTTAAAATGCCTCTGTGTCCGATTAAATCTTAACAACCTAATTTCCCGAGTCCCGCGCGTTCACCTCCGTTCGATGTTCCACTGCTCTTCGATCTCTCCGCCATCCCACCAACCTTCCTTCCGGTTCCCAACGTTTTTCATTCTAACTTCTATTCTTCCTTTTACCCCTGCTTCTATCTCTATCCATCTTTTCGTTCGTTGGATAGCTGCTTTCCTTTTGATTTTCTTGAATCGAGACTTGAATTGGAACGAACGAGTCTCGGTAGGGAGTTCGTGGCTGTTGTACTTGATTCGCTAGGTCGAAGATCGTCTCCTTTGAGAGCTCCAATTGCCCGATTGTGGACACCTGTGTGCTGCCTTCGATTCGGTTAATGGAAAGACCTTCTTTTCGTGTTTCCACTTGCATGCGATTTCCAGATACAGCGTGGACCTGTTGTTGTAAAGTCGTTAGGAAGATCGACCAATCGTTGGAGAAACGTTTACAAGCCGCGTTATGTGTTATAGAAATATTATTAAATAGGTTTTCAGGTTCGATATTTCAAATTGATTCGCACAGCCACGAGAGCGCTGCGGATACTCTCTGATAATTAACACGCGACGAACGCCAAAACAAAAGAACGTCGTTAGAAATCGTACCAACTTTGCACGTAGGAACTAGTGATCGTACCAACCTAGCATCTTCCACGACAAAAAATTCCCAATGGTATTAGATGCTTTGCGAGTTGCGATGTACCGCGATTGTCTATATTTAAATAATTTTATTTTACTTTATCGTACTTCCTTTTATATATATTTACATTATTCAGATATATATAATTTTGTGTGCTGGACTAGATTGGCCGCGTAGCAGCGACACACGTGTGCACGGCGTCTCGAAAAACGGATGAACGTAACTGTTCCGTTGGTAGCGTGGTATGGAAGATGGCGAGACAAAGAAAGTGCCGAGACGCGTGCAAATGTTTATCAAATAAGTCTAAAACTATTTTAATACGAATTCTAAGCACAACCTCAGTGTTCCTTTACTCTTATTTCGCCAATTAAAATCCACAGTTCTCAACATATATATGTCGGAGATGAAAGGACACCGGAGACCTTCCCTCTGGAACTTCGGGAAAATCCGTAAAATTGTAATTAAAGTTCACAGCTATAATTAAACAATTTACCGTCATTCTACTCAATTGTACTTATTTGCGATTTGTGATAATAAACTCGGGCTCAAGGACGGACGCGTCGTCTGTCAAAGGTGTGGAGTGGTAGCATGGCCCTCGTTAAAAGAAATACCCGTAGTGGTACTTGACAGTAAAACATTCCAACGGTTCCTTCGGACAAAGTGAGTACCAAATGTCGATGCACCTACACGGCACAAGTTCAGCTAGCCTGAGGACCCGATATAAAATCTAGGTTTTTGTTAATTAAGGTTGTTCAAACGGACAGGCAGTCTTTGTCCCAAATTGACCAATTGAGAGCAACGTCAATTTCCTTTACTTTCTGAACGAGGGCTATACTCGACGAATCCGACGATCTCGTGTCCTTGGACACACCCCATCGTAGATTTCCTCTGTGGCATCATCGGGACGAAAAGTCACTCTTTCTTGCGATCTCATCGACGATAAGAGTAACGCCTTACGATCTGTGAGTATTACACGTTTGAGTTAGATTTTGTGAGCAAGGATATCTATCATCCCGTTGACCGCGGATTCGTTATCGAAACTAGGACCATTATCACTAGTGTCGCGAGTGCCTAATCGCCGCGGTTGATCGTCAAGTCTGTAGTATCCATACTCGTGTTAATAAACGGTTATACCATAACGATGGCTAAGTCCAATGCAGATTTATCAAAAGCCCACAACCCTATTCCTGACGCTTCTCCGACATATATATGTGTGTGTGTGGGGATAAAGAGAGAGAGAGAGAAGGAGAGAATTTTTACTTTGCCAGACACAATTTATCAGAGAATTTGATACGAGTAAGTAAAATCCTGTGTACGGGGCATTAAGACGCGTATAAATTCGCAAACATCATCTGGAAACGATCTATTATACATACGTACAATACGTTGTTGGCGAATATTCTGCGCGAACCGTTATATCGCGTGTCGCCCTGCTATAATATATTATGTATCCTTGGACAATGTCCGTAAATATACATACGTGCACCCTTTCTACAGCGATATAAATAAAGCAAGTATAAGTCGTTCGTTATAGAACGGTAAGAAATTTACAATAGTTATCAATAATCTAACGGACGCGTTATAAGATTGTATTCAATATCGATTTACGTTGTGCAATTGCAGTGGGAAGTTGCAATCCGACTTAAATACTTAAGCAATCAAGACGAGTCTTCGGTTCTCGAAACTTCAATATCAGATGTCTTCGTAAATAATGCATATTCATCCAAATGCATGGGATACGGGTTTGCTCTAGATTTGCCCGCACTAGATTCCACGTGCTAGACAAAATTTAGTTGAAATCGATGGTCTTCGCTACTGTAACGTTTCCTTGCGACGGGATTTAGTTAACTGCTTTCTTGCACTCGCGTCGTTAAATTACACTGGGTCAACTTGCCAAAACTAATTCTCGGGAATGTGAACATTTTCGGCGTACAGAGTGCGCGGTCGAATAACACGTACGAACGGCCATAAGCTACTATCCGACGAAGAAATAAGAAAACAGCTAGTAGAATAAAATTGCTTTGTACGACGCCTACTTTTCGAGAAGATCGAGCTAAGAAAATTTGTCAAGTACACTGGAACTTGGTTAATTACTACCTAGACACGAGCAAACAATCGGTAGAATTCCGCGTGCGAAGATAAGCAAAATACGTGCAACGAAATTTTATGCATAACTCGCACATGTTACTCGGTCACACCCTGTATGTAACCCTGTTAGCTCGCAGAAAACTACCTCGAGTGCGAACGTTAAACGCGCATAGTATATTTGTAAAAATGCTGTACGGTCAGTGTCCAAATACTTTCGCGAATCGCAGTATCTTTTTTCATTTTATTCGATTTCGATATCATTTTACCATCGTATTTTATCAATGCAGCATCGCAATAATACTAAATCGTTGCTCGTATTTACGATAATAATTAAACGGAGATTTCAGATTAAGCAAACAAACTGTAACGAATTACAACTTTTACGCCTCGCGAGCAAACAAAATTTTGGTTATATAAGGGATAAAGCGGAGGTCAAAATTTTGATTTCACATTATAATACGATTATAGGATTTTCGATATAAACAGCGATACGTTAAATAATTACGAATACCATTATACGCGATAACGCGCAAGTGGAATTAATTAGCGAGAAAAAACACACGCTTACGTAGTCGTACAATAATTCGTTGTTTTCCCAAGCTTAAAATATCTGCAGAAGATTGCGCCTAACTAGCCCGTAGGATATTAAATTCTGTTGACCGTAATCAGCGAAATTCATTTCGCTCGGTTTATGCGGTATTTGTCTGTTGTGCTTTAAACTGCATTCAAAGTGGTGAATCTGTTCCGGACAGGTCGATTGAAGTGCCTCAAACCCTTTCACGATTTCCACTGATGACAAACATCGATCTTCCTTCGGTGTTGCACGCGAAACGCTGTTCTTGCTCCTCTATGATCCTCTATAAACCTCGATTATCGTTATGTCAGCCTTTATTGCTCCGTTTACGAAACCATCTTTAGAAAAACAATAATCGACAAACAGTACATTACGGTATAACGTCTCTTCTCTTCTCGAGCAATTTTACGAGAAATATTTTCGGAAAGTTTTAGAAAATTTCTGATTATTCGGACGACTAATTTTAAGAATCGTTTCAAAATTTTATAACTAATTCTATTCTATTATCGCAAAAGGTATCTTTCGTCGAGGACGGAACGGTATATGACCGATGACTCTTTTTTTTTATTTATTTACTTATTTATTCCTCCGGTCACATTTGTTGCTACGTTTAAGAAATCAGCTTGAAAACGATGATCAAAAGCGGAATATTCTATTACGTAATTACCTTTCCTTTCTTCGAGACTGCTGTACTCCAGAGAATTTATTATTTCATTTATATCCGCTATATTTAAAAATTTATCTGGAAAGATCGGGGCGAAATGGCGAGTGTGGCGTGTCCAATAAGGTCAACTACAAAATTCACCATTTCCAAGCAGCGTTCGAAAATCCAAGCACGTTGAGAAACACACCGGACGAACGAGTTGACGTGCATTTTTCTAAGTAAAATATTCACGTCGGAATTTTTATTATTCAGCGGGATCGCGGCGGAAGTCGCAATTATTTCCGGTGAAACGCGGCTGTCTCGAAGACCGTGGAGCCAAGTGCATCTGCAAAATTACAAGCACACGACCCATGCACGAAAAACTTGAACATTTTCAGTCGTGTAACTCAATGAAAGCTACAATTCGCTCGTGTACGCAGCGTAATATAGCAGCGTGAAACCGAGCTTACAATTCGGTTTAGCTTTCCCTTCGACCAAAAAGGCAACGAAAAAAGGAAAGCCGCAGGCTCCTTGACTGCATGCTGAAACAAAACCCAACGATAAAACCTCTGAAATAGTCTGAGCAGGAGCTACCTGTCGTTAAACGCATCGCCGCGGTTCCTACAACCAACCACCTTCTTCTCCTTCTACTACTTCGTCCCTGCTCTCTTTCTTTTTTCTTGCCTCCTCTTTCCACCAAGAAAGTTCGAGAATACTATTCCAACTTGAACCCAGGTCTCGAGCTCATTAATTCTCGCTCGAGAGGGTCGACACCTTCTAGGATCGATGTCGTTGGTGCGAGAAGGAAACGGAACGCACCAACACTCTGCACGCTGTGCACGTACAATATCAAATACAAAACGACAGCTATGCTGTATGCGTGTGAACCGTATGTTGCAGGAATTTGCTCCGGTTTGCGAGAGGTGCGCATCCAGATACCGACGGCCGTGAAGAAAGGTGACTCGGCGATACTCAACTGCTGGTATGACACCGAGGGGGATCTTTTATACGCCGTCAAGTGGTACAAAGGGGGTCAAGAGTTTTATCGCTATGCCCCGAACGAGATCCCGGTCGTCAAGACTTTCCCCATCGGCAACCTGACGGTGAAGGTGAGCATCGTGTTCTGTCTATGCATTTTCTTTCGCACACTCGACCTCGTAGCCTGCGAGCCTATGCAGAGTCTGGAGGGTCGTCGATGCTCGATAGAGAGTGTCGGGTATCGCAATGACACCAGATTGTTATACAGGGTGCCCCAAAAATGAAAACACCACGAGGTTTCCAGAGTAACGACGAGTATCGTATTTCGTCTATTGCTCGTCTTCTTTTTCTCGTATGCTCGACCTCGTGGCCCGCGAGCCTACGCGAAGTCTACAGGACCGTCGACGTCGAACAGAGAGCGTACGAGGTAAATCAGATTATTGTACGGCATGTCTGAGAAATGAAATCACCGCGTAGTTTCGACGCGTTCCATTTGTATTTCACCTTCCTCGTGGCATTTCGACCTCGTGGCACGACGATTGAAAGGGAGTCGATGCTTTAACGAAGAGTATGAACGACGATATCGGAACAACAAACAGCGTTATACGGAATATCCGAGAAACCATATCGCGATCAAGTTTGTCGATTGGTAATTTGGTCCTTGGCGTAGTACGCTGCGATTTTTCACGCGGCGGATAATGAAAAATTGGTAGATTTCGATCGCCAATATATTCATTTTTATGGTAAAGTATCGGTTACAGAGGATTCAGTGAATGAACATGGATATTTGAGATTCAGAGTGGCACGTGCAGATTTGTGCGGAGATTTGTAAGTGGTGCACGTGGCCAGAATGTATATATGTTGCACGCGTGAGACATTTAAAAACGCAGCATGATTGAGAATCGAGAGTATGACATACGAGTCGAGAATCGAAAATCGTGTTCACAGTTGTTTCACTTGTTTTACTAGTAAATAATAGTAATAAATATTCTCTTCGTTGATAATATCCTTCTTAATTTCTCCAATGCTTAATTCTGTCATATTGCTTCTCACTCTGTATTCCTCTTAAGAATACTTCGACGATTACCGAACACAAATAGTAATCGACTATCGTTTCAAACAGAACAAACAACACGTCTCTGCCTCTCTGTAAAAATTGGAAACCTGCAATTAGTCAACATTTCTTATAAAAAATAACGTTTCGTTTTCCACTCGTGATATAGCAAAATAATTCAATGTGATTTTTTTCTTTTTTTTTTTTGAAATTAATAAAGTTGCTAATGTTATAGAGATATCGTATCAACGTCGACGCGTTAGATTAATATTTTAATACGTAGATAACGTTGTTGCTCCCGTACTGCGCTCTAAATATACGTTAACTTTAATCCCACCCCCTCACACCCACAAACCAAGGAAAAAATAATAAAAAGTAAAGCAAGGTAAAAGGCAGCTAGCTAGGGTCGAAGGGGACTGGTTATTAAGAAATTTATCGCAATGAAGGAAGGTTAGATGAAGGAATAACCAATCGTTGTAAAATACGATAGAAAGATATCATCGTCCTCTCTTCGACGAAACTTCGAGTCGCGTTGGTTTCTTAATGAGCGGAGGGAGGCAACGCCGTCAATTTCGTTGAAGGATTATTCCAATGTTCGTTTTTACGAGCGTGTCTCGGAATGAGCAAAAGGGTTCCTGGAGAATCGAGTATTATCGCGATCATGGCCAAAGATACCGTAAACACGGCTCGTTTTCTCGTGGATAACAAGGGTGCGTGACTCGTTAAAGGCCAAGCAGTGAAATAATGCGTAAAGGTTGCGCGAAGGCGACGTTACAAGTAAATTTTTCTAAACTTCTGTAAAAGTGCCATTGAACTAGAAAAACAGATGCTTTATAATAAACTTGCTATATAAAACGTTCGTCCGATCTACGATTTAAAAGAGATCATAGTTTATCGTAGTACCATGTGGTTGTACGTTTCGTTGAATCTCAAGAAGGTTACGTGTGTACGTAAATGTCGAAGAATTCGAATCACGCGCGAGAAAGAAGATCTTCACCTTTAAACTCGATGCATAAAATAATACGTTGCCTTTCATTTTCATTTCTTCGGCAAACACGAATTTTATAGTTTCTCGTTGCTGGTTACGAACTGAATAGATTAACGTCGAATGTGACTTTTTTTTAACCCCGAGAGAAATATTCTGTTAACATACTCGTTAATTTTTAGCAGTGGCAAGTAGAAGGATATTAAAACGGTGGAATTGCTTTGGTCAAATGGTACGAGAAAATGGGAAATTCTATTCATTGGTCGGTGCTGATGCTGATGAAACTCGGGGCTGGTAGACGGCAGGATTAAAGAACGTTTCATAGACGTTCGATAGCTTAGAATATTCGGGCGATAAAGGGGGTGTTTTATGCGGTAACGCGTAAAACAGCGGCGAGCTGGAACCCTTTAGGAGAGGGACGGCGGCTTAATGGCAACCAGTGGTCTCATAATCGTCCGACCCGAATTTTAATCCCGTCAGGATATATTTTTTTCCCTCCATCTCGCCGCTGCTCTTCTCCTTTTCTTCGAAACCAGCGTCCGCCCGCGAAAGACTGATTAGATCTCCACTTTTCCATGAAACGGTGGAAAATTCGTTTTCGAACGTAAAACTAATCACGGGGAGCACAAATTTCCGTCTTTTTCTTTTCTTTTTCTTTTTTTTTTTTTTTTTTAGAGAGGGGGGACCGTACTTTGGAAAAGCGTCGGAGATTAAAAATTCTCTTTCACCAATTTCATACTTCAAAAGTGTATCTTTTATGAACTTTAATACAGCGAGTTCTAATTAGTCTTCGAAGAGTCGAAGAAGAAGCTAAAGTTCGAAAGAAAAAGTCTCTTTCGACTGAATTTATAGCGGAGATTGGTCGGTAAAAGAGTGTCGTTTAAGGCGTTCGTCATCGACGTTTTGCATACGCTAACTTCACTGCAATTAGTCTATTTCAAATAAATGGACTAAACAGATGTTGATCAAACAGGAAACGATGCCTGTTTAACGCGAACTAATCGCAGTGACGTATTATAATTAAGACAACTAGATAGTTAATTTGCAACTCTCGTCACCGCAGCTCCAACGCTCTCTCGACAACGCAATTCGCACTCTTTCACTTTTCAATTCACAATCTGACTTGTTAACCCTTTAACCTACAACTACGGCCTACAACTACAACCTATGATCGGGCCAAACGTAAATATTACGGGCATATAATATAAATATATATGTCGGGTTGGCGTTAGACTTAGGGGCGTGTAACGTATCCTCATTAGGACAAGCCATCGTCCTCGTTCAATGGAGATTATATTTACAATTATACGTAGAAATGTCGATTTAACAGAGTTTGTCAATTAAACGTGGCGATTAGACACTCTCGATGTTAAAGACGATGTTCTTAGGTTCGATAACGAATCCACGGTGAACGGGAAAACTCTTTGTACAATTGAACCTATTTTGAAACACAAAATGACGTTAGCTGTGACGCACGGGTTTTCCTACCGACCGACAAGACGATGTGCGTAAACTCTCCAAGGTGATCGCAAGAATAAAAAACCGATACGATCACGTTTGTCAATTGCATATTGACCGGGGATATCAGCAAAATTCCAGGCGCCGTTACCAGACAGATCCGCGTAGAGCCGTCGTTGCTCCTGCCCGGGGCTCGTTTGTTAATCAGCGTGTGTCCCTCGATATTGGTACTTCTTCTGTTAGGTACAAACGTTCATCCCGTGACCGTGGCTACGTTCGGCGATCAGTTGCGTCACCTCGAGCCCAAGCCCACTGTCGTAATCTCGGGCAAACGTAGTCAGATCGTATCGCAACGACTACTTCTTAGTTCTATCATTTAAGTACAGCTATAACAAATAGTTTAGACCAAAGTATCGGGGATCTTCCCAAAATTCCAAAAGGAAGGCCCGATGTCCCTACATCTTCGACGTATAACGTAATATATAATAGCTTGTTTAGATTTTCGGCCCAAAATTCTCGAACGTAAATCGTAGGTTAAGAGGTTAAGACGTTACAATTAACATAGATAAATAATAATTATCTAACGTTTCAAACAATGTTATCCTACGTAAGGACAAATTCTTTTAATCCGGCAAGGCATCGACATAATCAATCTTTATTCCTACACGTGTACGTACACGCTATTGAGAACTTAAAGCAGCATCAGAATATACATCGAGCACAAAAGATCAAGGGAACGCAATCACGATGCGTTTTCAACTCCGACAAGTAATCCTTGGCGCATGAATGATCCCCTTCTGACACTGGCTGTTAATTCGTTTTCATCCCTTAGCAACCCCTTGTCTTTTGTCTTAGCCTCGTGTCCCTTGTCTTAGCCCCACCGCGCACATGTTTCGCAACCGCTTGTTTATAATTCACCCGACACTCCCCAGGCCCCTCGTCCATGATACTACACTAATAATATATATTATAAAATATTGTGAACACGTATCACGAAATGGTACGATGAGAATAAAGTATCTGTACAGGACTCGTGATACTAGATGCGATTCCTTGCGCAGAAACAGAGATTTGAAAAGAAGACTAGAATTGTAGAATAAAACTTTTCCGTGCCAAGCTTTGTTTTTCATTTGTATAGATGGAACAGAAGCACGTTTGTAAATACAAACGTGTGTAGGAGTATATTTGTCCATGGTGAAAAAGTCGCTTCACGATAAACGTACGCATGCTCGAAAAAGATTTCCAAGTGTTTGTTTTCGAAAATAAAGCCTTGCATGAAAAAGGTGCATCGTGAAATTTAAATTTCGCTTGAAGTAAAAAGTCTCCTCTTCTTCGCTCGTGCCGCGTACATTTTCTATTTTACAACTATACCAGCGCCGTAATAAAAATTAACGTGAAAAGTTAACGGAGAAATATAGAAAAATCTGAATTCTGTCATTCTGGAGAATTTCACGAATTTAATAGCGAAATATATCGCGATAACTTAATCACGATTCTATTTAAGTAGAAGTAAAAATGAATTTTCATAAGTCCAAAAATAAAAATCGAGATCCTGTCGTTCTATCGGATTTGTCGGATTTGACAGCTCTAATAATAAATATCGAACGAATTACAAAATGTTTGCACGAATAGCGCGTAACGTAGATGTCTAACGTTTCGCGATTCTCCGTTTGCCTGGTCCGAATGAAAATTTTTCGTGGTTTTCTCGCCACGGCGAATTAACATCGGAATTCCCTCGTTTCTTGACAGAAGTAGAATACCAAGTGGTAAGCGCAATTCCCACTGAGAGAGCAGCAAAGTTAATTTAATTTGTAGCGTTAATTTTCGTAGCCATCGTTTTCCGCCAAACGCGGAAATGAATATTTGACGATCGAGTGTATTCGTACAAGCTGGAACAAAAAGATGAAACACCTTTCATGCAAGCGTGCATTACACTTCTTTAAAGTTAAATACGCGAGAGAAAAAAAAAAGAGAAGAAAAAAAAGGAAGATTGCATGGACTAACCACCGACGAGTTGGCATTCGTCCATTTGAAGATCGAATCAACCCTTATGAAATCTATCTATTTTTGCGAGTAGATAAAAATCGATGTAATTTTTTAAAATTGAAATAAAACCATCGGGGAAATTCAATCTTCCAACCTGTCAGTCTTCCACAAACAAGGGGGGTTGCTCTCGCCATTTCGAAACGGAAAAACGAATATTACTTCCCCTCAGTACCGTTTCAAACTTCCGAACAAACTATACGCCAGCTTACAACGGTTCCACTAACTGAACAAATACATTTTAATCCTCTGCAGCGTGACGTGTAACGTAGAAGCTACACACTCGCGTATCTGTATTTTTTAAAAATCTTTTATTTACTTTAACACCGCGCTACTATATTTTATTACGACACCTCCGCGCGTCAAGCTGGCCGTTAAGTGATTCCATAAGCAATATCGCGTTTACATGTGCGCGTCATTTCGAAAATCACGTACGAAAAGCGCAGTTCGCTTATTTTTTAGGCAAATAGTATATTATACGTTGCTTTATTTATTTATTTATTTATTTATTTATTTATTTAGGACGATGTTTCGCCCTTCTGGCAAACTTTTTATTTTTACAAAATTTCTTCGAACGAAGGTTGTTAAGATTCTAGCGATTGATCGATTCGAGTTTCTCCGTTGTATTCATCCTCGACCATCCTTTGTATCAGTTCGATAACGTTACGTTTAACGAAAATAGGACAGCCCTCCACGCCACTTTGTTATTTGTCAACAAAGCGAGACAATGTTATTTCATTCTTCTTTTTTTTTATTTGCAACGAAAGAATTTGCGCAATTTTTACCATTTTGTTCCACCGATTCTTTTACCACGCCGACATCGAGGGCAATTTATTTACCAAAGAACACGTTAGATTAAAAACATACTGTCCGTGGTATTTTATTACAAAGTATCCTCTGGAAACACCTCTAGTGGCTCGCTCTGTTCCATGCAGTCCATGATGTAACGACTCGATCTTGGAAAAACGACCATCCAAATTATCAACCCCCGTTGTCCCAGACCGAAATCTAAAGAAAGACGGTAATTAATTAAAGCGTGTTTTACGAGCAGGCAAAAATTGCCTATTACGAAGGTATAGTCATCGGCCCTGCGCGCTCCTTTCGAAAGCCACGACGAATAGATGCAGCAGCGAAAATGTCGCCACGCCATAAACACGCGGCTAGTCAGCGTCGGATTTTTTATCAGCTCCAGTAAATCCAAGGGAAACCGCGTTCGCCGATCCCATCGCCATTTACCTCGGGCGAATTGCCGCCGCGGGGACAAGCCTACGCGCGAATAAATCGCGAGGTGTCGCGAAATTTCGCGTAACCAGCCGTCGGAGCGCCGTTACGGAGTCGTAATGTTGCTCGTAAACTGCGCGAAAAGCCAACGTGCGGTCGACGAGGGTGACATCGAGTGGCCCTCGCAATCGATATCGCAAGGAGGCGTTTGCACGGTCCGCCGAGCTCCACTCGTCTTCCTCGTCGTAGAAATGCTCTCGTGGCTCGATTCTGCGACGAAACAATGCGACGAGCTGACCATCACCCTTTGTCTTCCGGTCGATTGATCGATGCTCGCGCGGTCATTCTTCGATGTTCGTTTTTTTTTCTTCTTTGTCTCTCTCTCTCTCTCTCTCTCTCTCTCTCTGTCTCTGTCTCTGTCTCTTTTTTTGTTGTGTCGAGTTTTTTCCATGCCGTGGCACAGGTTGCTGGTGCATGGACAGGTAGAGTCATAAATCCTCGATTGTCAAAGCCGATTCATAGGCATCGAAGATGCAGGACTGGTCGTGACAAAGGACTAGTCACAGTGTAGGAACTTGAAACTTTTCCTCGTGCGCTGTTGGATGACGGATGGAGCGGTGACGTAGCGTCGTCGTACGGATCAATCATTTGACAGCGTAATCGAACGACGAAGAACGCCGAACGAACGATGCGGGAAATAATTGTTTCTTCGACGCGAAGATGTTGCGGATTTTCGATGGAAAATTTACGACCGGAAGAAACATGCGCGCTTTCAACTTTTCCCAGGGAATAGATATCAACGTTTAAATATATGTCGGAGTCAGGTTGACATTTTGGGGCGTTCGATGAACCTTTACCGCGAACGTCGCGGACGTAGCTAATATTTATCAGTACGAATGTGGACGCTACAAGAGGCTACGAGTAATGGCAATCGGATGGTCGAGACGATGGTGACAACGAATTCAGGTTCGACGACGAATCCACGGTCCACGGGAGGACAAGTATCCACGTACTACTCGATTCGGGTAACTTCTCGATAACTCGATCGGCAATTCGTCCAACGACTAACTAACAAAGTAACTCTCCCTTAATCCAAAAGAAACTTCCCTTATATACTCCTGTCCCCGCTTCTCGGGTCGATCTTTGTTTTTAAGGAGAGCCATATAATCATTTCGTACCTCTGTCAGGTACACGTCCCTCCCGTGACCGTGACTACGTCTAGCGACCCGCTATGTCACTTCGAGCCCGAACCCATCGTCGTAAAGTCAGATTGGAACATTAAAACTATTTCTTATTTTTATTACTTAAGCGCAGCTATAGTAAAATTGGGGTATTGGGGTTTTGTCCCCATCTGTCCTTCCATCTCCGACGTATAAGTATCGTCCAGAGGTGTGTGTGGGTGTGTGCGTGTGTGACAGATTGCTGGGATTCTCTCGTACTACGTTCGTTGCGTAGTTTATCGCTCTTGAATCGTCGCGTAGTTTCGAATCAAGCGATAAAACAAAAGATCGAACGATAGCGATGGAACGGCGATGATTCCTTCGTTGATATCGATTGAACGTAAAATTGGCGTCGGTGTTTTCCTAAAAGGAGAAATAGATCGAAGAAAGCAGAGTTGTTCTGGAATATTCCGGTAAATGGCGGTGGACAATAGGCTTCATAAACGACAATGGAAACAAAAGACATTTGTCGTCATTGTTCCAGCTCTGTTGCGCACCTGCACCATCCGACTTGTCCAAACGTGACAAATCCAAATGAATAGAAATCAAATGCTGACATATTTCGACCTTCGGAACGAACATGTCCGACGGACATTCGTTTAACGTTAACTTTGTGCAACTGATTCGAAACGATGTTTAACGCATCCGGCGACGTTGTACATTTTCCGTTTATCTTCGAGTCCTAGCTGTGCGCAACGTCCGCACGGATTAATTATTCGTCCGTGTCTTTTGTTTTCAACTTCTAATGGAACTGAAATTGCGCTAAACAAACGCAGTAATTGCAGTACTACGCGAAAACCTTAAACCACTTACGGAACGGAAACGTTTTGTTTTTACGAATGAGCGTGAGGATTGTTTTAACGCTACAACTGGCACAGCGGCCAAAACGAACAATTTGTACTTTGTTAGGGAAATTTTACGAATATAATACAACTGCGTATTCTTCGAACGTTTGTCCCTGTCTAACTTGTGAAACCGCTTTTATACGAAAATCTTCAATCCCTGAAACTGAGAAAAAAGATCTTCCTTCTATCGGAATTAGCCCCTTTCAACTCGAAGAAGAATACATCTGCACGTTCTTCGCGCTATTCGCACCTTTATTCCCCGTTGCAAACAGAAACAGAGTCGCGATAACCAGAAGAGTTTCTAGTCTGGCTTGGACAAGAATACGTCTACGTATTTCAAAAGAAATAAAATCGAGATAACGGCAACGATGTCTAATCTACAAAAAAAAAAAAAAAATTCCCCCATCCACGAGAAAGCCTCAAAGATCTCGCGATACACCTAACGCGTCTTCCTCCTGCGTCGTACATCGACGAGCTCCAAGAAAAAAGCTCCAAGAAAATCCTCTGAAAAGACCTTGGAATAGAAAAGCGAATGGCGACTGCTAGCGAGGGTTAAGCGAAAGGAACGACCGTCACGATACACGTCTGACTACGACGATCCTGTCTGTTGCAGAAAAGCGAAAGCAACTCGACCCGGGTTGCCCTGACGAACCTGGAACTGGACGCAGCGGGCGTCTACAGTTGCGAAGTGTCCGCCGATGCTCCTTCGTTCCAGACGGCCTGCGTCCAAGGCACCATGAACATAGTCGGTAAGAGAACGTGTTTATTAACCCTCCGGTCAAAGACTCGAGCTGCTTTACTTTACGAGCCGCCATAAGCGGCACATAGAACCGAAAGGTTCGGTCGTGTGTACATATGTACACGTACACGTGTACATAGCCGAAGCTGTGTTGGCTTGCGAGCGCACTTTCGAACTGCGAATTAATGCCAGCCACCGGCTCGGTGGACTTAAAGGCTTACGCGAATCGCTGTGGACCGAGCCGAAGATAATACTGCGGGTACACGCGGCGGAATGAACGGGAATTAGGTGTCTTAGGCGCCCAGGGAACGAAGCCACCCCGGGGTTACGTTTTCCTACTCTTCTTTTTCAACCCTCTGCCCCTCGCTTCGCCCCCTTTTCAAACTTGCTGCGCGATTCGCCACTGGCAGAGCGAGTTTACGCCGTCGTTCGTAAATACGAGCAACCTGTACGAAACCATACATCGGGGCTAAAATCGCGTACACCCTGTTTGTATCTTGTAAAGAATTTTTATGCAAATTCGTACGGTTTTCAGAGTGTAATTAAAAACGTAGAAGCCCGGTAGAAAATTGTTTTGTACACGGAGTATAATGGAAAACATTATCGTACAGTTCGCTTTGATTATTTTACGCGTTGTTTTCGTATTGTGCGCATTCTCGGATCCTTTTGCCGTAATACCGTAGAAAAATCGCCAGTCCACGTTTACCAACTAATTAAGAGAAACAGGTCGTTCGACGATTCGACCTTTCGCCATACCGAGATCTACTTAAAGTTGCACGAGACACATAGAATCTGCAGCGATTCGCTCTCTTTAGCTAACTCTACCTAACGCCTAAAGTCTTCGTACAGGTTTCAAATCAGATAATAATCGTTAGAAACTGTGACAAGTTGCCAACCATTCCTCGGATTAACTTCGTTCTTTGTAAATGCCTCGAAGTACGAAGTTTCACTCGCTTCGTTTTTCGTCTCTTCTTGTTCCTTCTTTGGTAATTTTATTTTTTGCCAAGCATTTGACAAGAGAATTTCGGTATGTGGGCGGAGAACGTTTGTCAACACTTGGCAGCTCGTCGAGCGACAAATTGGAGAGCGCGGAGTAACGAAGTTTCAATCGCGAAAGGGTTGAACAGGTTCCTCCTGTGTATCGCGAGTGTCGCGAATGTAAATTTAAGGAGCGTTCCTTCGCTTTCGTTTGACGATACGTTTCGTATCGAGGCAAAAGGACGGTTCGGTTATCATCTCGTGCCTCCGTCGAGTTGCTGGAAACGGAAACTTGTTAAATGATGTAATTAGGAGAGTAACAAGGGGAACATGTTTAATTTGTTTCCGAACAAATATTAAACGACTCGATTGCAGTTTAACCCTCCTGTTCTCGTAACTGAGATTATCATGTAATACAAGGAATGTTCATGATTTTTTATCCACATATGATGCGATATAAGTCAAAGGCTAGTTTAGAAAAATTTCTTTCGAAACGCTTACAGACTTCGAACTAGCTTCGAGCTTTTCAACTTTAATTTCGTAATGAGCACTTAGTTATAAGCGTTACATATAAGTTAGTAGTTAATTATTAGAAATGGAGCAAGCAAGGTGCAATAGATAGGTATAGACGGTATATAATAATAGAGGTGCTAGAGTAAGAGAAACATATGTGATGTAAAGGCGACGAAAGGTACGGACTAAGAATAAATAAAATAAATAAAATAACAACTTTAATTTTCATAACGCAAGATGTGATGCGATATAAATTCGAGCAATTTTTATTCTTACATAGATAGACAGTGCAAGATTTTCAAAGAGTTTGGTTTCGTACAAACGAAAAATATTTGTCCTATGTTTATTAAAAATTCTATATTTTCTATCGTATTTCGTTATTGTGGAAAGCAACAAAGAAGCACAACTCGACGATAAAAAAGCGAACGAGGTAAAACAGCGACACGCTAAAATTACAATATCGGTATTGTATCAGTATGCAGTGTGTTCGCGTAATGAATATAAAAACTCAAATATCAAACAAATATTATTATAGTGAATTCCGTATGAATCTATCGTGTAGGATGTTAAAGCGTACGTGGTAGAAAAGAATTTCACACATTCGTGTGATTTTAGAGTTATTTTTCAAGTTACAAACAATTTAATTTCCTATCAGTTTCGTACGGCGATGCAAATGTCGGATATATCATTTTTTAATTTATCCTTTTCTCGAAACCGTAAGCGCGAGGTTGATCAAACAGGACAGAGAAACGTGAAAATACATGTTCTAAGAAAATAAATCGCTTCGGTAAAATCGATCGAAAGAGCGATGAAATTAATTATCCTATCGACGATATGGTGAATCGACATATTGAAACAGGCGTTGAACCGATCATCTTCCATTTTGCGTTATGGAAATTAAAATTGAAAAGTTCGAAGCTTGTTCGAAGTGTGTGCGCGTCTCGAAAGAAATTTTTCTAAACTAGGTTCTAACTTTTTAATATTGCATCGGTATGGATAAAAATGATCAAAATTTTCTCTATTATATAATAATCTCGGTTACCAGAGCCGGAACCTGCCAATTTGCTCGTGTTACAACGACCAGATCGTGACGTTTCTCACGGAATCTTGAAAAATCAAGTTTCATTATTTTAAATCGTACATTACAAAGACGATTCCATAGATTTAAAGCGACACATTAGGACGACGATACTTCTACGAACGTGAAAATAATTATTGAGAAAGAAAATGTTTCGTAACTTGCTGTGACGAATTACACGTTTCGTATACGTTGCCTGGCCTAACACTACGTTAGCATATCGATATAGTTTATGAAACAAATGAAAAGTGAAATACGCGTGAGAATCTGAGGGTCAGCAGAAGCGAAAGAAACTTTTTATTAAACATAGAGAAGTAAATCAGCGTTGTTAATCTCGACGTTCCATATTACCAGAGTATTTGGAAGGCCTTTCTTAATTGTTCGCGTGGAACAGAGTCAGACAACCGGAGTTATCATTTTGATGTATTAATTAATACGCAATTGTCGTTTGTTCGAATAGAATTACGGTATAACGAGCACTTTACGAGGTCGTTAAATTTCTCGTCTGCGTTAACCGGAAAATTGTAGGCCAGGGGAACATAGACGTCTCTAAATTGCGAGCAACGTAAGAGAGAAAGAGAAAGAGAGTTGCCGTATCGGAAAATATGATTAAGACACCGATAGAGGGTAAAAGTAACGTAGAACAGATCCGTTGTAAACGCGGTCCAAGGGCGGTGTGTAGGTTGATGCGAAATAAAGCTAATGAGCTGCAACGTTCTCTCCTCTGACTGAAGCTTAAGAGAGAAGAGAACGGTGCGTACTTTACGAGAAGTTTGGCGTGCGCGGGCGCAAATTATCGAATTTTCATAAACCAATCTGTTTTTGATTCATTAACGAGAAATACGATGACGGTGGTTGGAAATACACGATCGACGATACGCGTTACGGTTCATAAGTATCCGAACATTTTCCTCGATTTTCAATAACGGCATTTAAATGTAAACAAAGTACGTAAATTAATAACGAATTAACGATCGCAAATAGTACTTGGTATCGTTTAGTGGAATCAAGAGTCTATAAATTTCAATTATTCGCTGTAAGACGGGGCAACGAAATGCGCGACTACTTAATACACACAGATTCGCGATATTTCAGCTGGTTTTGACAATTTGACAAGAAAGAAACATCTTTCGGACAGAAGAGCATGGACGGTAGTTTTCTCATCGTACGTTAGTTTCTAAAAATCATAATTATTTTCATCGTTTCAATTATTCGCGAGAAATACGATGACGGTGGTTGGAAATACACGATCGACGATACGCGTTACGGTTCATAAGTATCCGAACATTTTCCTCGATTTTCAATAACGGCATTTAAATGTAAACAAAGTACGTAAATTAATAACGAATTAACGATCGCAAATAGTACTTGGTATCGTTTAGTGGAATCAAGAGTCTATAAATTTCAATTATTCGCTGTAAGACGGGGCAACGAAATGCGCGACTACTTAATACACACAGATTCGCGATATTTCAGCTGGTTTTGACAATTTGACAAGAAAGAAACATCTTTCGGACAGAAGAGCATCGACGGTAGTTTTCTCATCGCGCGTTAGTTTCTAAAAATCATAATTATTTTCATCGTTTCGGTTATTCGCTGTAAGACGGGGCAACGAAATACGCGACTACTTAATGCACATAGGTTCGCGATATTTCAGTTGGTTTTGACAATTTGACAAGAAAGAAACATCTTTCGGACAGAAGAGCATCGACGGTAGTTTTCTCATCGCGCGTTAGTTTCTAAAAATCATAATTATTTTCATCGTTTCAATTATTCGCTGTAAGACGGGGCAACGAAATACGCGACTACTTAATGCACATAGGTTCGCGATATTTCAGTTGGTTTTGACAATTTGACAAGAAAGAAACATCTTTCGGACAGAAGAGCATGGACGGTAGTTTTCTCATCGTACGTTAGTTTCTAAAAATCATAATTATTTTCATCGTTTCAATTATTCGCTGTAAGACGGGGCAACGATATACGCGACTATTTAATGCACACAAATTCGCGATATTTGAGTTGGTTCTGACAATTTAACAAGAAAGAAACATCTTTCGGACAGAAGAGCATCGACGATAGTTTTCCCACTGCACGTTAGTTTCTAAAAATCATAAGACTCGGAATCTACGCCGCTGATCGGAGGATAAAATTCTCTATCGAGAAATGCTGATTGCACAAGATAAAATGATCGTACTTCTACTTATAAAATTTTGCTGGAAAGCTATAAGTATCGAGATACTTTTGAGCGGTAATGTACACAGCGCGTGTCTAAATTTCATCTTGTTACGAATCATTGAATTCCTTTCTACATAAATATCCACTTTCGCGAATATTTCTACATAAATATTCAATTTCAACGTCGCTCTCCAACCAATTTGTTTTATTCATTCGTACCTGCCGCGTTAACACAAACGGGACTCGAATCGAATTAACCGTGTTTTCCACGAAACGACACCGTCGCTTCGTCCGAATTACAATTATACGAACACTGCAAAAACACCGATCGTTTTGAATTTTGTCGCTGCCTGCACGCTGTTTCCCAGTGAATCAGATTTCGTCGTCTCTGGCGAGAAATTTTTGTCGCGATCCTTTATTTCCGGCGATCTCGTGGTTGGTTAGAAAAGTTTCCCCGTATTATAGCGCGGTGAGTTTCGCGGAAAGGAATATTTCGTACGAAACTCTCGAAACCGATATTTATATTCGGATTATTTTTATTAGAAAAGTATCGAAAAATTGGAAGTTTCCGAGAAACGAGATAAGATAAAGCGCGCTGCGCGAACAAACCGTTCTTCTTTCTATTCTTTTCATTTACTTTTACAGCCGCAAAATCATGTGGCGAATTTTCATGGAAAACAGACAGCGGTGGAAAAGAGACAGAGAACTATGAAATTTTCTTACGAGAGAAAAAGCTCCAGCTCCGATAGAATATATTCGTGTGTCCGAAACGGTTTAACGAGGATTACGAACGAATGCAGGGAGAACAAAATGCTTAGAATATTCCAACTCGCGACAACGATGAAATCCTACGACCGTACTCTCTCGCCAGTCTTTTTTTTTCAACTTTTAATAAGTCCCAAATTTCGAAGGAAGAACGACAATAAAAAGACCTTACGTATGCACACGGTAAGAGAAAACTTTTACATCAGAGCCGAGCATTGCTCGCTGGTCGGGGGAAGTTCCTCCGCGCTCTTCCCACGTTTCCTTCCTCGACGATCGCGAGGCTAGTGAATTCTCCCTGGCAGAATAACAAAAAAGAAAAAAGAAAAAAAAGCATACAGGAGAAAAAAGAAAGGGAAAGAGAAAAAAAAAGAGCTCGAGAGGCTCTCGCAAATCACGAAAACGATACGAAACAAAGAAGGGTAGGATAAGGGGGCTGAAAAAGAAGAGAGTCACGGGATCCGTATGCTTAAACGGTGCCGTTATATCCGCGGATGGAAAAACGAAACACGCGAATCTTCTCAGATCCGGCTACGTATATGTATGTTCGTGTCCATAGTTATATACAGGGCACCCTAGGATTTAACAGTTAAACTTTGTGCGATACGTATCCGTCGCTCTTACGCCACTATCGTGAAAAATATAAAAATTCACGATTCAACGTGAAATTATCGGATGAATCAGGCTTGCTGCATAATCGTTACATTATTGTACTGTGTTTGCCGCGACACTCGTCTCTTTAATCTACGTAATTAACCCCTTAACCTATGATTTACGTTTACGAATTTTGGGCCGAGAACCTAAACAAGCTACTATACAGGGTGGTTGGTAACTGGTGGTACAAGCGAAAAGAGGGTGATTCTACGCGAAAAAAGAAGTCGAAAATATAGAATACAAATTTTTCGTTCGAGGCTTTGTTTCCGAGAAAATCGACTTTGAATTTAGGCTCGGTACGCGTGCACTTTATCGCGTCTCGTTATAACGGGTCTCACCGTAGATCGTTGTCTCGATTGACGTTATCTTTTTAATTTTGTAAATTTTTAAATTTTAAATTTTTAAATTTTAAAATTTTAAATTTTGAATTTTTAAATTTTTAAATTTTGAATTTTTAAATTTTTAAATTTTTAAATTTTTATTCTATATTTTCGACTTCTTTTTCTTCAGAATCACTCCCTTTCCGCTTGTATCACCAGTTACCAACCATCCTGTATATTATATTTGGCCCGATCGTCGTACTACGAGCTATACCCGCAATATTTACGTTTGGTCCGATCGACTGCGAGCTATGCCCGTAATATTTACGTTTGGCTCGATCATCGTACTACGGGCTATGCCCGTAGCTGTAGGTTAAGGGGTTAAGAACGAGAAAGACGCACGATCGTTGTTGGATGCGAAAATGAAAATTTATACACACGCGACTTTCGTATAAAAGGTCCGACACATCCCACGAGTATAACCAAGCGCGCGATATCGTACAAACATCTAAGCTTTTATATTAGAAAATTAATTACAATATAAAATGATCTTCTCTGTACGACCTACTCCTCTTACGTACCACTTTTTGTTCGGTTACCCTAATAGAACGCACCGACCAAGTTTGCCTACGTTAAATCCCCTAAGCTAACGATATAAACTGCCTGCTAGAACCATTTCCTCCGGTAACTAGAACGATAATTGAAAAATTTTGTTCCGCGTCTTTATACCGGTTCTTTCAACGAGGTATACCTCTGTTCGTTATATTACAATTTACCAGGCCCCTGTATAACGGTGCACACACGTTCGCACGTTCACGTGCGTCGGTGTAGAGACGAAACGAAAGGTACGAGACGCATCCCGCTTCGAAAACACTTGCGCGGAAACATTTGGCACGGTGAATTCTCTGTAAGGGGAGATCGGCACGATGCCGTCTCTCTTACGAATGTATTATTCCGATATCGAAACGCGAGCCCGAATTGCCAGGCATAAAAGAAGAATTTTTCATCAGGCATGCAGGCTGTTGGTGCGTTGGCGAAAACACACGGTCGAATCTATCGGCTCGATCTGTGCACACGTGAGTACACTGGTTGGTTGGTTGGTTGGTTGGTTGGTTGGTTGGTTGGTGCATCCGGGAATCTTGAAAAGTCCCCTCCCCGCCACCGCCCCTGCAACCAAACCACCCGACGTCCTATCTGTATGCATATATTTGTTATATATATACATATATATATATATATATATATATATATGTATGTATGTACGTACGTGCACGTGTGTATGTACACACACGTAGGAAACGGTCGAACGTCAAAGCGGTGTTTCGAACATGCTTCGCATACTTCCGGGACCCGTGTGTACCTGACGTCTCTTGTTCCGCAGAATTACCCTCTCAAGGGCCGTCGATACACGGGTTAAGGAGGAAATACCGGATCGACGATATGCTACGTTTGAACTGCACATCCGGACGGAGTAAACCCGCGGCCAATCTCACCTGGTACATCAACGATCGACAAGTACGGTTTGCTATATGAAATCGCGAATAGCGGCTACAAATTCCTAGCCTCCTATCACCGATGTCTTCCCATACCTCTCGTACCGTATTCCGTTCTCTCGTTCTCTGGCTTCTGTAAGACGTAACCAAGCAGCCCCCCCCCTGCCCCGTTTCGCGTTACAACCCCTTTCCGCCGTTGCGAATGCTTCGAGACTGTGCATTACGCGGCGGATGCATTGGCTAGGAAACAGTTAGCGGATCGCGTCTGAGATTTTAGAGTTAATTGTTATGGCGGTCGAGGAACTACGGTTGCGCAGTTTGATGGATTTAATCCATTAAGGGACTGCGATCAAATCGCGGCAACGCTTCGCTCTTGCGTTCTTTTTCCATCAATTTATAACGCGCCTCTGTACCTTTGGATATCGCGGCTACAAAAGAGAATCCAGAGATATTTTTTCCCATGCGATCTATTCCGCCGTAGATTCTACGGTTTTTGCGAAATGTAACGAAATTTCCGAGGTATTTGCGATATGGTGACCCGACGCTTTCAACGATACTCGCGGTTATCGATTTGTTCGCGGACTCGTTTCTGCAGATTTTGGAAGATACTCGTTTCGAGATTATTCGATTCTACGAAAGTTCCAGATTATAATATCGTCTTGACGCGTTCCTACACCGAGTTTCCAGTTATACACCGCGATACTCGAACACAGCGAGGTATTGATTGCGCTAAATCCGTGGCTCAGCTTCCCGGCTTTTATCATCCATCGAAATAGAACAGAATTGAATTAAAATGTCGAAATAGATGTACGCCGTGGAGAGAAGACAACAGGAGTTACGGTCGTTCCGATCGTTTCGTCGCGTCTTTCGATACGCGCAAGACGTCGAATACTACGTGGTTTCGTTCTCAATTTCATTCGTTCTATCTTGATGCGAAGCGAAATTGAGTGGAGAAATTGAATTAGACGGGCTTGGATCGAAATTCCTAGTACAAATGAGATCGGGCAGCTACTACTCACGATAGAATTGCCACGGAGAATTATAAAATTGCACCTGCGAGCATCATTTTCGAAAATTCAACGTCAACCTGAATCGAAAATTTGTCAAATACACTCGATTACTTCTTTGCCGTTGCTTACTTTCTTTGCATTATTCTATAGACGATAACGAATCGAAAATGTAAAATGCAATCTTTCCTCTTCGAGGTTCGTTTTCGCGACAGTTCAATTTGAAATTTGTTGATTCTTCTTGTTATTCTCGAGCTTCGTTTTATTCCAAGCCACGGCGTCCCGCCCTAATTTCGTTTGTAGCCAACTATTTTTTATTATTCGTCGTATCGAGTTCAGGACGGTTCGTCGACCGTGTTCCGTAATTTTTGTTCGGATGCGTCCCACGCTGCCCCGTGTCACCTCGAAGCTTTATCATTTTTTGCGGCGAAGAACGGCCAAGTTTATTCAGCTGATCAAATTCTAGACGGTTTTTAAATACACAGCCTCGTGCGTGCAATCTGTCGTTGGATCCAATTTCTAAATTGTCGCGTTTCAAACGTCGTTCGCTCTTCCACGTCTCAAACATCGATACGTTTTACTCTTTAATTACGTCACGTTGAAAGATCGAAGATTCGAATTATATTTTCGGGAAGTCTCTTCTGGAGAAACGTCTGTTGTTTCATCGGGATGCGAAATATTTCGCGAAATACCGCATTTCGGACATTTTTGTCCGAGATGAATACGCATATTGCGATCGGAACGAGGCTCGGAAATTTGATTTCGCGATGAAATGTTACCTAACGAAACCTCGTCGCGTGTTTTTCTGCTGTCTGTTCCTTCAATAAAATGACATATTACGGAAAAAGCAACGTTGCAACGTTATGACGAAAAATAAGGGAGAAAAATAGAAGAGAGAAGAAAAAGTAATCGAAGTTTCTTGGACGTGTAATGACGGCGTTATCAAAACACGGTCCTGTCGAATCGGTTGTCTATCAATTCGGTGCTACGTGCGTGCCCGGCGATAAAATCGCATTGTTGCTCGAAATACCGATACTTTTGACGTGCACCCTCCTCTTTATCAGCAGTTTGGAGTGACAGAAAGCCGCTGCGCTTGTCTTCTGCTCTTACGCGACACCGTACACCCTTTTAAAAATCATATTATTCTTCAAAGAAAATATCTGCAGCGGAAGTAGCGAATTTTCGAAAAATCAATTCGTGATTTTCCGTGAAAATTCCGCAGATTTACAACGGTACATTTTTAATAGTTTGAACGATTCTCTCGTTGTAAAATATTACGATGAAAGCCTGTCTGTTACTGTACCGTTCGTTTAGACTTTTCCGCCAGTTTTACATTTTACTCGCCGATGGTTCTAAATTGATCTGTCCTTAAACGGATTCAACGTTCATTAATATTCCATTGTAAAGTTTTCGTTGAAACATTGGAAATTGATGGTCGAAAGCAGATATCGCAACATAAATTTAAATTAATTTAACGCCTGATAAAATTACGGAATAATTAACGGTATATCGAGCACCTCGTGCACTCGATAGACAATCCCAGTCTAACGATGAATGTCGTCGTCTAAGAAGTACGCCGAACAAAGTATCGCTTCAAACTTGATAGGATTTTCGAATAATTAACGAAATACCAAGCACCCGATATATAGACAGTTTCGACTACAAAATCGGACGTTGCGGTTCAAGAGATTCGTCGGCGAATCGATCGTTTAAAAGATCGATCGACGACCACGAAGATCGATGGCGCGAGTATTTTTCTGAAAATTCCCTCGGGAGGATCCTTGATTTCCGATACTATAGGTAATGAGGCCTTTAATAGCCATTAAATACCAACATTTTACGCCCCCAGCATATCAGGTTCGCGAACTATCGTCGGTCGAAGACCACAAAGGGTCCAAGTAGCCCTAAACGTCGTAGAAACCTTGTTATCGGAAACGCTCGAAGCGATTAGCAAATTCCTCGATCGCGGCCAATTAATCGGGCTGAAATTTGTCCTTAAATCGATACGACGACGCTCGGATTAATTATCGACAAGTGGAAAGCCGAACGGGAGCCAGAGAATTTTCAGGAACGTGGCAGGTCACCTGTTTAACCTGTTCGTACAAATTGTCACACGCAGCCGCTGAAGTCGCACGTCCGCACGTACAGTCCCTTGGACACGAACGAGTCCGAGTGGCACATTTCGCAGATCGGCCTTCAGTTCCTCGTTACGCACGACCATTTCGCGGGGGGCAAGCTGAAAATACGATGCAGCGCCTCCATATACGACATTTACTGGCAGAGCACCGAGGTCAGCACCGAGGAGGACAAACCGAGGCTGATACACTACGAACCAGCGGCGACCATCGTCGGTATCAACTACCTGCAGCCGCCACCCAACTTCCAGACCGGCCAGAAGAAACCCGATGGACACGTTGGAGTCAAAGGTAAAACAAATCTTTGCACTTTCATTTGCTGAACTGTTGGATTGGCAACCGAGTGACTGCGGATTTTGTCATTAGGTGGTAGTTGCCGATCCAATATTAACTCTCCTACGCTTTTTCGGTAATTTTCCATAGAATTCGTTAAGTTTGAGAAACACGAGAAACGATTGTGATTATTCGTTATTTAAGAATTATCGTTATATCGAACCCTCGAGAAGCATTTCTATGACGTTCGCTTGCAACTTCGTAATTAGCAGTCGAATTTATAAGACGAATTTACCGCTACTTCGTTTGTGTTTGCTACGATTGAGAAGTATCAGCGTCTGCCACGTCTGTACGTTAATATGTAAATGTAGAAGCAGGTTCGCGCTTTATAATTTTCTATAGTACGATGTCCTATGAAACGATCGTACGAGCGATCGCTGGAAATTGTAGAAAGAGATTCAGCCTTCCTCGATCGCAGTCTCTGATAAGTAAAAATCCGATAAATTCTTTTCTGGAACGAAACGTTTCGTGAATTTTTATCATTAACTTGACACTTCAACTTTCGAAAGGAAAGAAGAAAGTAAGATCGAAAGGCAGAAAATTCCAGGATCGCGACGGGATGAAAGAGCGTTCTTGCGAAGGGAGGAGAAGGGTTGCTTAAGTCGTATAATAGGCTTAGCGAGTTCTTAGATCTTTTGGGGTGTTTACAAGCAGGGAGGCTTCATGGAAAGCATTCCACCCGTCGTTGATTGAACTTTTTGATAGCGATACTGTCGAGGGTTTGGTTTACCGTTGCAGACCGTGGGATTGCCGTCTTCTCTTTCAAACTTTCGGTCTTCATTGGTTATTTCCAGAGAATTTGTCGGGCTGAAATAACGATGTTTGATAAACGTTGAAGATTAGTATTCCGGAGAATCTGAAACCGTTGGGATTAAAACGCGACGATAAGTTTCCGGGATAGCGAAATTTCCAAACTTTCCGATAAATATCCGAAAGACGAGGAAAAGGGGAGATTGTGAATTTTGAAACAAAGACGATTTATTCTTCGGGAACTTGCCACGCTTTATCTACGACAGCCGAGTATCTTCGTTAGAGAAATCGTCGTGTTCGATACGGTTGCTCGAGATGGTGGTTTCCATTCTAATCCAATTAAATCGACGAATATTCATTTTTCCTATTATCATCGCCAGAAACATCGCCACATTTTACGTAGCTTCCGTATATACGCTTCCAATATTTAATTAGCAAAACCAATTACTTAAACCGCGCAATCACCGCCGTAGGCTTATAGCGTTAACGAATCCGAACCGTGTCACTTCTATACGAAGATTAAAAAATAAAGAAATATCCATTAGAAGAGCGCGTCATCGATCGCGCGCAAAAACTGCAAAGCATCACAGGCAAGTTCGAAATTTGCAGTAGCATTTCAATCCGTGTGCCTGGTTTACGACGACTCTGTCGAACGAAAGACGTCCGTTTTACGGATTAACGAGTTACGAAGCCGGTTTGGACCGATTAAATCGAGCAACTGACATGTCCGCTATTTTTTCCTTTCGTTTCTGCCATTGAGCCGTGAACGGACTGTGCACGACGGCCGAGCATCCGGTTGTTTGTCCACATCGTGGTCCGGGATAATCTGACCGGTCGAATTATCCTGGTTAACGTCAAATAGCTCGGCACGCCATCAAATAATTCGTTTCACGCCAGCTAATCCGAGGCTGCGGCGAAGATAATTCCCGACGTATTCCAGGATTATTTGCTGCGGCTTTGGATTATTTGGCGTCAAGTGAGCCGCACTTCAGCGGCGCGCCGCGCTCCTCTCGAAAATGACAACGACGAAACAACGACGACGAAACAACGACGACGATCGCTATAGCGACGAACGACGGCGAAAAACAAGAATGGAAATAAATAAGCGAAAGGACGCGGTATAGGTTTCCTCGGTGCACCGGAGAAGCGTTATATAATAAGCCGTGTGCCAGTCGCGATTCGATCGAAATCATCTCGTTGGAGGAAAAAAAAAAAAAACGCACGGTCGAATTCATTGATCGTGGCTTGTAAAAAAAAAACTTCGTTTTGTTATTTGAGTTAGCCGGTTTGCCTCGTTATAGAAGTGGCTCTTCTAGTTTCCATCAGCAGCAGCAGCAGAGTCGCTCTTTCGTTTCATCCATCCTTTCTCTGTATTCGTTTCTCCGCCGGATCGTGGCAAAGCAAGTTACCTGATAAACGAAATATTTGCTCGTTAGATGGCGTATCGATCGCGATTCCACCGATGATATCCATTCGCCTTTTTCCCTCGTTGGAGCCGCTGGATAGTCAGATTTGCGGACGAATTAACCGCGCGTCCATTGCGCGTAATTGCCACGATAAATAAACGTTAATTTATAATATACACGAGCGAAGCCGCCCGAGTGTTTGTAACAAAGTGTAACTATAATACGATATAATAGTGAACGGGACGATTATTAACGATAATTAATGGCAGCATATGGCATCCACGGCGACCACGTTACTTTATTTAGCCTGCGGTCGGTGTTTGCGCGATTTACGTATAGTTAGGAACGCGTTCAGCTTTAAATTTACTAAATTAACCATCGGGCACGAACGAGCATTGTAAAAGGTGGTAATACCAGCGATTAACCGGCGTCGTAATTAAGCGTCGTTTATGCGGATAGAATTGGTGATAAAGGGGGCGAGCAGGGGATGACAGACGAGACCAGGAGAAAAGAGACAGAGTCGCGTTACCGTCACGGTTCGCTCGCGGTTCGTCCAAATGTTATTCGAGGCCTTGAAGCGTGACTGCAGCGATCCAGGTTGGTTAATTCACTCGCAGAGCATTGAATAATATTTGATCGAAGCCCGTGACTGAATCGGGACTGCCAGTGTAAATCAAGTCACCATGGTTAGGGGTTAATTAGTGGGTCGAGAAAGTGCAGCCTAGCGATCGAGCGTCGACAGGCCAAAAATCGTTTCTCTTCTATCTATGTTATTTATCGTTTTGCCATCGCGTACAAGCGTCGAGACGGACAGACAGAGACAGAGAGAGAGAGAGAGAGAAATTTTTGTTCATTCGCAGTAGCGCGTAGGAAATCCGTCATCCATCATCGTTCGAAAGCCTCGATCGAAATTCTATGACCTACATCCGGAGGCGGCTGTTAAAGCATAAGCGTACCCTCAATTTGATTTTTTTTCTTTCTGCAGGCGTTATTATGCTCGGAAGCGCCGTTTTATTACTTTCAATTCCCGGTGCTCAGCACCTACATCGCTGACTACACAGCCATGTATTAGCACGTAGAATGGCGCGTATTAATTCGGAAAGTTTCGCGCCTCGACGCAAGGGGATCCCCGTACTCGCGCTCCCCTTCTCCTCGCTCTTTGTTCTCTCTGAAAAAAAGAGCTGCCCTATGGAGAACGTCGATGATCGGTAATTCGATCCATTAGCGACGATTCCAACCTGAACAATGTTCGTAAACGCGGATCGTGAGCGTCGATAAATTCCATTCGTTCGACGATCTAAGAAATTCGTAGCTTCCGCTTCCACCAAGTAATTTGCTTTCGTCGCGTTCTCCGATTACTCCGTTCATTTTCCAAACGATCGGAAAAGCGTTCTGCTCGATCGTTAATTGCGGAGAAGCATTCGTCGGTTCAAAGTACAACGTTACCGTATGGCGGAAACACTCGCGCGTAGCATGGTCGAATACGCAATTTAGCCTGTTACCGCGTTGGTCTCTGATCCGGGGCAAAAATTCATAACATTCTCTGTTCAAACATCGTCGAAAACGTAATCTCAGCCTGGTCGAAACTCCGCTTAACCCGTTTCGTACGTCTAAAAGGCGAAATGGAAGCGGTGGGTATAAATTCGTTTATTCGTCCATCGCGTTGCGGGCGAACGATCGCCGCGAGCACGCGACCGATTCAACGAACGCAGAACTTTGAGTGCAGCAGCCTGTGTATTCTCTGTTTTCAGTTCTCGGCTCGTCCAGGTCGGAGATGCGGCT